AATATATTTCATGTTCTTGGATTAGAAGAATCAGCATAGTTAAAATGACCTTATGCAATCCCCATTAAAATCCCATCAGCTTTTTAAAGAAGTGAAACAAAAAATCATCTGATTTGTACTGAAGCACAAAAGACCCTGAATTGCCAAAGCCATCTTGAGAAAGAAAAACGAGGCTGGAGGCATCACACTGCCCAACTACAAATTACACTACAAAGTGACAAATCAAAACGGCATAGAACTGGCAGCAAAACAGACACACGGACCAGTGGAAGAGAACTGAGAATCCAGAAATAAATCTATATTTATATGGGCAAATAAATTTGACCAAAAAAGCGAAAAACATACAGTAGAGAAAGGAAAGCCTCATCAATAAATGGTGCTGGGAAAGCTGGAAAGCCACCTGTAAAAGCATGAAACTAGACTGTTGTCTATCACCACTCACCAAAATTAATTCAAAATGGATTAAGGACCTGAATATAAGACCTGAAACACTAAAATGCATAAAAGAAAACATAGGAATTAATCTCAAAGACCTTGGACTTAAAGAGGATTTTATGAATTTGATCTCAAAGGCAAGAGAAATAAAAGTAGAAATAAATGAATGGGACTACATCAAACTAAAAAGCTTCTGCTCAGCAAAAGAAACTGTCATCAAGGTAAAGAAAGAACCATTGGAATGGGAAAATATATTTGCAAGCAACACCTCCGATAAGGGCCTAATACCCAAAATATACAAAGAACTCACACAACTCAATACCAACAATAAAACAAACGATCCAATCAAAAAATGGGTAGAGGACCTGAACACACACTTCTCCCTAGACCAGATATAAATAGCCAACAAATATTTGCAAACATGCTCAACATTGCTAGCTATTAGGGAAATGCAAATCAAAATCACAATGAGAAACCATCTCACACCTGTTAGAATGGCTAAAATCAACAGGACAAGTAATAACAAATGCTGGAGAGGATGTGGAGAAATAGGAACCCTCATACATGGCTGGTGGGACTGCAAATTGGTATGGCCACTATGGAAAACAGTGTGGAGGTTCCTCAAAAACTAAGAATTGATCTACCATATTATCCAGCAATCCCACTACTGGGTATTTACCCCCAAAGACTTGAAAACCCATATCCGAAAAGATATTTGCACACCAGTGATAACAGTAGCACTATTCACAGTGGCCAGGGCATGGAAGCACTGACGTGTCCTACAACAGACGACTAGCTAAGAAGCTGTGGCACATACATACAATGGAATATTACTCAGCCATAAGAAGACATGAAACACTGCCATTTGTGACAATCTGGATGGACCTTGAGATAATCATGCTAAGTGAAATAAGCCAGAGAGAAGGTGAAAATCCCATGCTATCACTTATATGTGGGATATGAACCTAAAAGCAACAAAGGAAAAGGACAAACAAACTCATGGACATGGACAAACAGACCAGTGGTTACCAGAGGGTAGGGGAGTAGGAGGGAGATAGGAGGGGTAAAAGGGATCAAATATATACTAGCTGAAGGAAACTGGACTCTGGGTGGTAAACACACATACACTATGCACATATCAAATTATAATGTACACCTGAAAATTATATAATTGTATTAACCAATGTTACCCCAATAAACATTTTTTAAAAATTAAAAAATAAAAGAATATTATGCTCAGTAAAATAAGTCAAAGAAAGACATACCATATGATTTCACTTGTATGCAGAATCTAAAAAACAAACAAAAAATCAAACAAAACAAAGAAACTCATAGGTACAGAGAACATTTTGATAGCTGCAGGTGAAAGGAGGGGTCAAAATTGGGTGAAAAAGAGGAAGGGATTAAGAAGTACAAATTGGTATTTACAAGTAAAGTACAGCAAAGGGAATATAGTCAACTGGGATGTGAAGTACAGCATAGACACTATAGACAGGTGGATAGTAGATTTGTTTGGGGGATCACTTCATAAGTTACACAAATGTCTAATCACTATTTTGTACATCTCAAACCAACATATTATATGCCACTGATGATTTAACAGTTATTTAAAGAGAAAAAGAAAATAAACTACAAGAACACATTGCAAAACATCTATCAGATAAAAATATACAACCTAAACAGAGAATGTTTTTTAAAAAAAAACAAAAAAACCTGATTTAAAAATGGGCAGTCTCAATAGAGTTACACTAGATTTACAAACTACCGATAAGCACATCGTAATGTGCTCAACACTGTTAGTCTAAGGGAAATGCAAATTAAAACCACAATAAGATATCACCAGAAGGAGTAAAAATATCAGAAATTAGAGGAACTGAATATCCCATAAATTGCTGATAAGACCATAACTGGTACAGGAACTCTGAAAACTATTTGGCAGTTTCTTAAGTTAAATATCAATTTACAATATAATCCAACAATTTTTTCCTATCCAACATAAATAAAACATACAAGTCTTTCTGTGTGAACATTATATTTGAAAATATAATGTTTCTTGTTCACACAGAAAGACTTGTAAATTAGGGCTAATAGCTTTACTGAAGTTCATATTATAAGAACCATATTTCAATAGAAATCCCAAAACATTATCTAAGTGAAAAGACAGACATAAATGCTACATATTGCATGAATCTATTATGTAAACATTCAGGACAGGCAAATCTACAATGATAGGAAATAATTAGAAATTGCCTGGGGAAAATGACTGCAAACATGCAGGAGGAACTAGAGTGATAAAAATATTCAAAGTCTGGTTAGGGGCACTGTTTTCACAAGTATATAAATTTACTAAAAACTGTACAAAGAAATACACCTCAATGAAACTGTTAAAAAGTTAATTTACCTGATAACCAAAAGATGCAACTGTTTTTCCAGTTTTAAAGTACCAGTCCTTTTTGAATACACAGTGAAAAAGGAAAAAGTCTATATCTGAAATAATTATGTTTAATTTGGCTTAAACATAGTGGTTTCCACACTAAAATGCTAAAACAAATAAAAAACATTAAAGAGAGAAACTTCATCTGTCCAGCTATACAATGATTAAATGTTGAAATTTTATTACAACATCCAATTTCAAAAACTATAAAAGTCATTAAAAATATATACCTTATCAAAGAAAAATTATTAGAGGATATCAATGAAAAGTGTCATATGTTACACTCAAAATGCATTTCAAAATCATAAGAAAAAGGACCCATGGTAAGTCCTACTTGACCATTTCTATCTAATAACATGGTTTAAGGTAAGAATCTACCCTTCAAAATTACTTCTTTAGAACTCAGATTTTCAAATATAATGTTTTGCTATAAGCTATAACAATTCCTTCCAAGTTTAGAAAAAACTTAAAATTTTATTAGGGACAACCAACAAAAGAAATACTAGAACACTGAGATATGGTGAACATTCATGTTAAAAATGAATGTTCTTTCCTATAGGAAAGAATAAAAAATTATCTAAAAATCTTACTTTTAAGTGTTAAGTAAAACACACTGAGGTGACCCTTTAACACTAACTGTAACTACTTAAGGCTTTAATTTCTGATAAATACTGAAACAATAAAGTTTAAAACATAAATATTAAAACCACATGAATGAGTTTTTGAACTGAGAAAACAAATGCTGACTCGCTGGTAAGGAGTCTTACTTTACCCACTTCTAGAAGTCAAAATGGCAGTCGGTTAAATTAGGAGAACAAGGAAAATGTAGTTTACAGTCTTACAAATTCAAATACGTAGTTTAAGATAGGCAACCAACTTCTGGTTAAGTACTTCTGAGAATATTACTTCTCATGATAAGCGCTCCTCCCCCACCACCCCAAAATCTGTTCAATTTCGTAATCAAATGACAGCAAAATTTTTTTAAAAGCGAAAGTATACAAATGTTATTTATGTGGGTTTAGAGAATGTGTTTAATGATAAGAAAAAAGAACAAAATATCCTCCCTAAGAAATACAGCATGAATATTTAACTCATATCTACAATTAGCCAAATTAAGTTAAAAAGTATGCTGAAGTATTCAAACACCTGCAGGAGTACGTGCATAGTAGAAAATTCAAATATGGTTATAACAAAATACCACAGAATAACATAAATGCTCTATTTAAAAAATCCCTAAGTAAATGTTAGCTTCGACAGAATTCCATGCAATTACATAAAATATCTTCTCCATAGCTCTAAATTAATATTTTATAGTAATTTAAAAATACGTATATGAAAACTAAGACATGGTTATCTCAAGAACGAGATTTTACTACCAACAAAATCAAATGTAGTAATCTCTCTGTAGAAACAGATAACAGAAAGGTGAAAAAAGTAATTAGAAATGACTTTTTTACTGAAACTTATTTCTCTGTCCCGGGGGCCTTAGCAAGCTGGAGAGGTACAGGAGGGCAAAAACGTTTAGACTGTCAGACTATCGTGGGAAGTGGACAAATGTCAAATAGACTAGCCAAGCGTAGGTGGGGCCCAGCTCTGTTTCAAATCAGTCCACCTCATTAGTGGTATCTGAAGTCAAGCCAACCAGGAGATTCACGAAGGGTCCTCTGGTGACCGAAACATGGAGTGGTTAACCCCAGCACTAGATAGGTCAGCGCAGAAGAGACAGAACCGTCAGCCATTTTCCTCTACACTCGAAAATATGTTCCTAGAGCGCCGGCTGGGCAACCATTAGAGCTGAGTGCGACCTACCAGCACGACTGCGACAACTGGGAGACTGTCAATCTGCTTTTGGCCTGGCAGAAAAACAATAAATAGTGACATGCCTCCACCGTATTTCTGTCTGAGATCCAGTTGATTCCAGAAAGAAACTGGCGACTACTAATCACAGAGCACAAGTGCCTTTACATCAAAACCAGAGTACTGGAAGGCAGAAAGCAGCAACCAAATTTAGCCCCAAGTCACAAACAGAAACAAAAACAAAAAATTGCGACGGCTAGGCTCGGGAGTGGTGGCGTAATGTTAAGGACATTGCGCTCACTCCGTCCACCTTGGCACGCGGTGGCCCTCTTACCTATGTTTTCACTCGGAATGCAACTCTTCACTAAGGTGGTTTTCACGCGGTGCGTTTCTACTGTGTCACCTCCTCTTAGCCCGCAACAGCAGTTTCGCAGATCCCGGCCTGGTCTGTTCGCTGCGACTTACGCCTAGCTCCGGCGGCCGACACCAACAACCAAGAGCTCTACGGGGCCGCCTCCTGTGAAATAAAGACAGCGGCAGCAGGAACCACCTCTGCAAACCCTGGTAAGCTAGGTGAAGCTGGAAGGGGGTTGGGCTCAACTGAGCCCCCAAAGGGCGGGGTGAGGGAAAGCTGGGGCTCAGCAGTTGCCTAGGCCTTTCCTCTTCAAAAATGGCGGAGCCGGCAAACCAAAAAAAAAAAAAACCAAAAAAACCGTCAGCCCAGTGAGTATCGCAGCTGCGTAGACTCCCACCAGCCCTAGCGCCACCCACAAGCGCGAGAACTCCGCCCCTTTAAGTCCCGCCCCTCGACCCTCCTCCTTCTTCTGCGCAGGCCCTATCCCTAAGCGCTTCTTCGTTCTCCTTCTCCCCTCCCCCATGCCCTCTCTTCCCCGGAACTGTGAATAATTATATGCTCAGAGCCGGAAGCTGATCCCTGACTTAGGCGCCATGATCCCGCTCGAAGTAAGGGGTCCAGAATCCGGGATCTGCCCCTTCCAACAAACATTATTAATAACTCGGAAACACACCTTTCTATTAATGGTTCACATCCAATCCCCTGAGATAACAACGACTCTTACTTGTGTCAGTATACATTACTTTTACATGATTACAACAATAAAAATGGAATCAATCATACAAGATGTAAACTTAGTTTTGGCCCTTCGCACAACATTATGTCAGAACTTTATTTTTCTAGAACGAATATTACATTATATAGATATATCTATATATAGGAATCTATGTAATTCCTATTAACCTATATGGAGATTTTTTTCAAATTGGAACTTTTATGAAAAAAGTCACTGTAAAAAAACTTTCAAAATATTTCCGGGCACGTATGTCATTATTTCTGTTACGCATAATCCTATGATTACAATTCTTAGTCTTTTTTTTTTTTTGAGTATGCATATGTTGATCTTTACTGAATAGTACCAAATAGTTTCCCAAGCGGTTGTCTTGATTTCAGTCATAAGTTTGCCTTATTTTTTTGCATGTCAAAGCAACTAGACATGACAATTTCACGATTTAATCTATGTTATACTCCAGTAAGTAGTTCTAATTAGCCTTATTAAATCAAATTGACCACACTAAACTATTTTTCTTGTGCTCCAGGGACCTAACCAATGACTTCCTTGTCGGGGGGGACTAGAATATACAATTTCCCAATTTTGACATCTACTCAATTAATGCCCTAGGAAAAGAAGAGTTTTAAGTTAAAATACTAAATGACATTAAGTGGCATTAATTAAAGTTCATAAATCCGAGATCTTTATCTCGTTCTATTTGTCCTGCTTTCTTTTCAATGATTGCATCTGTTAGCCTTAATATATATGTCTATTAACACAAAGCAGTTCTGTCTTAGTAACACAAAACTATTTATAAGCTCAGAATACAAATTATGAAAAATAATTTTGATATAAATTCTATATCAACTTTTTTGATAGAAACTCTGTAAACTCTTTAAGGGTCTTGAATCCCCAAATACGCTTTGAGAAACTACTACTCTAAGTTACATTAAAGGCTCCTAATGTCATTTTTCCAGCCAACTAAAATGCCTGTCATTCCCTTTAATTCACCAGGCTGGCTATTCAGTGCCTGTGCTATATATAGCCCATGGTAGACAAAAGTCTGGGATGCTCTCCAATGTCTTGGCCCATGGTATACCTATTGCTCTGTATTTTAGCCAAGGTTCTCCAGAGAAACAAAACTAATAAGGGTGGGTGGGTGAGTGTGTGTGTGTGTGTGTGTGTGTGTGTGTGTGTAGATTTATTTAAGGAGTTGGCTCACACAATTTTGTATGCTGGCTGCCGGGTGGGCTGAGAGGTTGCAGACCCAGAGAAGAACTGATATAGTTCAAGCCCAAGGGCATTGCTGCAGCTTTCACTCTTGCTCGGGGGAGGTAAGTCTTTTACTCTTTGTAGGCCTTCAACCAATTTGATGAAGCTCATCCACATAATGGAGGTCAATATTCTTTACTCAAATTTCACTAATGTAGGTGTAAATCTCATTCAAAAGCACCCTCACAGGAACACCAGGAATAATGCTTAACTGCATATCTGAGTTCCGTGGCCAACCCAAGCTAACACATAAAATTAATCACTACAACTTCCATCAGTCATTAAGTCAAATAATTTTCTAGATGCTGCTTTGAAGATATTTTGCAAATACAATGAAGGTCTCATATCAAGTGGCCCTAAAAAAAGGAAATTATTCTTGGTGATTTTGATCAAATAAGTTACTTTAAAATGGGCTGTTTCTGGTGAAAAGTTTAAAGCATGAGAGCATTTAACAGAAAAGATGTCCTCCATTACTACTTTTAAAAATGTAGAAGTTAAGGAATTTGAATGGCCTCGAGGAGCTGAAAATGGCTCCCTATTGACTACTACCAAAGAAATGCTGACATCTGTCATACAACTACAAGGAAAGAATTTGACCAACGACTTCAATGAACTTTAAGTTCTGCCTCAGAGCCTCCAAAAAGAAATTCAGTCTAGCCAACACCCTGATTTGAGCCTATATTGATTTATTGAAGAGAATCACACAGTTTATTTGAAAATTCATAATTTTAATGAGACACTTAAACATATCTTCTCAGGAAATGAAAAACAATATTTGTTAGCAAATAACTTAGAAAATAGTTAATAAATTTTGAAAAATAAATTTTGAAAAATAAATTTTGAAAAATAAATTATGAAAATTATGAAAAAATAAATTATGAAAAACACAGAAGTGTTGTCAAGTACTAGTGAGTATGTTTGTTTTCCTATTGAGCATGACATCTACAATGGTGCCATCAAAAAGGACATAGGAGTGTTTTCTGCTGCATGTGTAGTGGCTGCTATGACTGCTTTGACTTGGTCCTTCTGTGTGAGAGTAATTACCTTCCTCTGTTCAGGAAGAGTGTAGCTGTTTCCTGTTACTTGTAGCTGAAGGTAATCCCTCTGCATACTTTAAATTATGTTTGGTTTTATGAGATTAAAATTAGGTGCATTTAGTTTTTGTCAATGAGCCTGTAAGATCTTGAGAAGAGGGTTCTGCCAACCTGTACCTAGATTTGTGACTTACTAAAAATAGCTGTGTTTTTAAGTCACTAACTTTATGCCATTTTGATACACAGAAATAGAAAACTAATACATAACTCACGTTATTCTTGCTGTTCAGGAATACCTACCTGAAGGCTTGCAGACACAGCTACTAAAAAAGCAAGAAAAAAAAAAGTAAAAACAAAATTTCAAATAATGATTATGAAATAACATTACTAATGACTCATCTTGTTTTAGCTAAATGTACAATTAAGAAAATGTTTTGGGTAAATACTGGCAATAATTAAGCAGATGTTTTACATATATTGATTAATAACTCCCAAGCAAAAATAATTTCTTGGTGGTCTGTGAGATAATCATTTAAATATGAAACAATTGAGGATCAAAAAAAAAGATGTGCCTCCAATAATTAAATACTACATCCTTAGTCTTTGAAGTTAGCCCTAGACTTTGATGACAATTATGTCCTGAGTTCAATTCTTGACAATCTTATTTTTTCCAATCAGAAAAATTATTCTCTACAGGCAGATTTTCTTATGAAGCTGACAATACAGGGTCTCTCATTATTGTGGGCTCTTTACAAGGCCATGGACTGTGTCTCTTTTGCCATCTATGTGATAAACCAGAAATGCCAACAAAGTAAAATTCCCTGACATCAACTAAAGTGTATTTCTTAAATATTTAACTATTTGAACAGAAACAGTTAAAAAAAAAAAAAAAGGTTATTTAGATATAAAGTTATCCAGTAGGTATGCAAAAAGATAAAACGTGAACTCTGAAGTTTAATTGAAGGAAGTTTAATGGGAAGCAGCTACTAGGACAGCTTTTCTAGGGACAGGAAATGAATTAAAGAGGTTGGAATTATTACAGTTTGAGACTAAGGGGCCCACAGAGTGAAAATTGAGCACGGTGCAGGGAACATTGTTTGGCTGTTGCAATGTCTCTGGAAATTAGATGAGGCTGGTTCTGATTTTTGGAAAATCTGTACAGTAGTTTTAACTACTGCCAAGGGGAGGAATTGTTATTTCTAGAGTAAAGAAACATTTTTGTTTTTATAGGAATAAGAAGCTGATGGAAATTCACAAGGAAAATTACGAACATAAGGAGTATGTTCTTTTTCTTCCAGCCTCTCTAGTGCCTCTTCATGGTAGAGCCTATATTTTTTCTCAAGTGATTGATATTTTACATAGAGTTTTCATCTTCTTTTAAAATTTAAAAAAACACTTGATATCACCACATTCAGATCTGCCAAATTAAAAATATTTTAATTAGTAATACATTAATAGTATTTAAAATCAACATGAAAAGTTAGAGTGAAAAATTTTGCTCCCATCTTTTTCTCAATCTTTCGCTCTTTAGAGAAAATCATGTTTATATGTTTTTTGATTTTTTTTTGCAAGTTCTTATGTATATACTAGCACGTGAAGTAAATATATTCTGTGCCCTCCCCCTGTGTCTCTTTTCCCACCACCACCACACACACAAGAATGTGACTATATTCTTGTTTCCTTTGGAGGATGGCCTTAATTTTCTTTGGGCATTGGAAAGAATATTGAGCTTTGAGAGAAAGAACTGAAACATGAAGAATGAGAAATAGTTAAGTCAATAGCAGGCAAAACAAAAGAATAAAAAAATACTCTCAAATAGAACTAGTTATTAATTACTATGTCTACTACATGTCTGGCTTTATTTCTCCCTGCTTTAAGAACACCATACCTTTTAATTTAATTTTCACGAGTCTTGCTTATTGTCTCATTTGCCAATGAAAGAATATCAGGTCTCAGGGAGAAAAAGAAACTGGGCCACATCAATTTTTTGCCAACGTTTATAGCAAGCGCCTTTCCTATTGCTGTGTTTCGATTTGACTTGGACTTTGATTTGACTTGAACTTCACTTACAAAGAGCTGAATAGAGAAAAGGTGGGACCAGAAAACCTTAAATTTGTCTTTAAGATTCATTATTTTTTTTTAGAGCCTTCACAGTTTAAATCATAATCATTTCCTATTCATGATCCAGAAATATTAGGGAAATATTTCAGATGATACCCATACATTTAAATATAATTCTCAGATATGTATAAGAACTTATAAAAATGTTAAGAACTAAGTGTAGTTTACGGCCATGTCACCCTGAACAAGCCTGATGTCTGATCTCAGCCTTGGTTAGTACTTGTATGGGAGACTACCTAGGATGACTGG